CTGTTTTGTGTTGCTATAACAGAATACGACAGACTGGGGAGTTCATTTTTTTAAAATCATTTCTTACAGTTCTAGGTGCTAAGAAGTCCAGGATCAAGAGGACCACATCTGGTGATAGCCTTCCTGCCACATCATCCCATGGTGGAAGGTGGAAGGGTAAGAGAGCATAAGAGAACAAAAGAGCAAGAGGGGGCTAAATTCACTTTTATAACATGCCCACTCTCACAATAACTAGCCCATTCTCATGATACTGACATTAATCCATTCATGAGAGAAGAGCCCTAATGATCTAATCACCTTTTATTAGGCCCCACCTCCCAACACTGTGGCATTGCAGATTAAATTTCCAATGCATGAATTTTAAGGGACACATTCAAACCATAGCATTCCACCCTGGCCCCTAAACTTCATGTCCTTCTCACATGCAAAATATATTTATTCCACCCCAGTAATCTTTATAGTCTTAATTTGTTCCAGCATCATCTCAAAAATCTGTGCTTTTGAATCCAGAGTCTCATCTAAATCAGATATGGGTGAAACACAAGGCAAGATTCATCCTGAAGCAAATTCCTCTCCAGCTGTAAGCCTGTGAAATTAACAAAATGCATGCTTACAAAATACAGTAGTGGGACAGGCATAGAATAGACACTCCCATTCCAAAGGGGAGAAATGGGCAATAACAAAGGGGTATCTGGCCCTAAGTAAGTTCAAAACCCAACAGGAAAACAGCATTAAGTCTTAAAGCTCCAGAATAATCTCCTTTCGATTATGACTTTGGATTTATGACTCCATGTCCCACATCATCAGCACATCAAAGTGGGATTTGAGACCCCAGGGCCTCAGGAGCTTTGCCCCTGTGGTTTTACTGCCTTCACTGCACCCAGTAGACCTTATTACAAGTTGGAGTTCCATGCCTGCATTTCACCCAGACTGATGCTACAGGCTAGTAACTCTACAGTTCTAGGGTCTCAGGAGTGGCCCCCATTCCCATGGCTCCACTAGGCATTGCCCTAGTAGGGGCTCTCCGTAGTGGCTCTACCTCTACAACAAGTCTCTGCCTGGGCCCCCAGGATGTCTGTGACATCCTTTGAAATCTATGTGGAGGAAGCCAGGTCCCTACAGTTCTTACGTTCTACATGCCTTTCGATTTAGCACCACAAGGATTTGGTGCCAAGATTTATGGCTTGTACCTTCCAGGGCAGTGGGTTGAACCACACCTTGGGCCACAAGTGGGGTAGCTGGGAAGTGCTTCACCACAATGTGGGAAGCAGAGACCTGACGTGGCTCTGGGTAACAAGCCCTGGAAGGTGCCCCAGGGCCCATCCCCTGAAACCATTCTGCCCTCCTAGAGCTATGGACTTGTGATAAAATTGGGCAGCCTCCAAGATCTCTGAAATGCCTTTGGAGTCAATGTTCCATTGCCTTGATGGTCCCTTCTATCAATACTAATCTCCTTGCAAACAGTTGCTTGACCAAACACTATTTTTCATTCTTTACATGGCCAGGCTGAAATGTTTCAAAATCTTTTCATTCTGCTTCTCCTTTAATTATAAGTTCTGTCTTTAAGTTATTTCTTTTCTCTTGCATCTTAGCGTATATAGTTAAAAGTATCCAGACTGCTCCTTCAGTATTTTGCTTAGAAATTTCTTCCACCATATATCTCAGTTCATTGCTCTTAAATTCCACTTTCCATAAAGCCCTCAGATATGAACACAATTCAGCCAGTTCTTTGCAATTGTATAAAATTAATGGCCTTTACTCCAGTTTCTAACACCTTGTTCCTCATTTCCACCTGAGCCCTCAACAAAATGGCCTTTACTGTCCATATTTCCACCAGCATTCCAATCATGACCACCTAAATAATCACAAAGCAGTTTGAGACTTTCTCTACAGCACTTCTCTTCTTCTAATCCCCCACCAAATCACCCTTAATACTTCATTTACAGCAATCTAGGCTTTTTCTAGCCTGCTTCTCCAAATTCTTTCAGCTCAGATCCAAACCTGCTTCCACATTTGCAGGTACTTTTTACAGCAACAGTTCCACTTCTCAGTACCAATTTTATATCTTAGTCCATTTTATGTTGCTATAACAGAATACCACAGACTGGGTAATTTATAAAGAAAACAAACTTATTTCTTATATTTCTGGAGACTTGGGAAGTCCAAAGTCAAGGAGCCTGCATCTGGTGACATCTTTCTTACTGCATCATTCCATGACAAAAGGCAGAAGGACACGAGAGCCTGAGAGAGTAAAAGAGCAAGAGGGCCCCAAACTTGCTTTTATACATGCCCATTCTCATGATAACTAACCAAATCTCCCAATAATGACATTAATCCATTCATGAAGGCTAATCACTTTTTATCAGGCCCACCTCCCAACACTATGATATTGCAGATTAAATTTCCATCACATGAACTTTTAGGGATCATGAAACTTAAACTGGAGGAAGAGAGAGGTGGCCTTAAGAAAATATTTATGATATTTTTCATAAATAGCAGAGGCAAGGAAAGAAAAATATCTTTAAGGAAAGGTTAGACAGATGTAAAACAAAGTAATTTTAAAAGCTAGTAAAGAACTAGGATGCCCTTCAAAAAGGTAGTAGAAAAAGGAATATGGTGGATGTTATTACATCAGAACAATATCTAAGACCCACTGAAGTCTTGTTACAAATGCAATAGTATTTGTACAACACATAAATATTGTATGGGAAGCAAGGTCTCTAAACAAACTGGAATGACTCACTTCTAAGTCAGCATTCAAATTCACAGTTATTACAGGTTATTATAGGAATAATCTTGAATCTTCTCTAATTCATATTTTTTAAAGTTGATTATGTACAATCTTCTATTATTTGTAACATTATTTGTGGCATATCTCACAGATGATTTTGGTCCACTTCTCAAGACAACTGTTGAGAGCCACGGTCCTATAAAGTATGTAGGGTAGTGGGCATAAATTATAACACTGAGAATCAATCAACAGGTTTTTTGTTGGTGAAAAAAGTTTTCACCAACATAAACGTTTTATAACAGTGGGTTGTGTGCCAGATCTGAGATCCATTGGAGGCTCAAGAATCTTTTTGTTTAGCTCTAAATGCACACAAGATGAAAGAACACCTGGGATCCCTCTCTGAGAGGGTCCCACACTAGCAACTCATAACGGCTTCTCCTATGTTCCTACACCAGTCAACCACTCAGAAAAACCTTCTGCTTTTTCTTTTTGCTGTCCTTAGATGAGAACTGCTTCTGAGCTTGCAAGAGAAGAAGGGGTTAAGAGAAGCTGGATCAGAAATCAGGCAGGGGGGATGGGGAAATGCACATCTAATGAGTACAATGCACACTATCTGGGAGATGGACACACTTGTAACTTTGACTCAAATGGTACAAAAGCAATTTAACCAAAATGTTTATACACCCATAATACTCTGAAATTTTAAAAAATAGCTTAAGTTTTGTTCACAGCTATGTAACTTTCTGTATTTGTCTTTAAAATATTTTATTGTCACTTTAGTTAATAGATAACTATTGTCTCATAGTGACTTTTGGTCCTATTTAATGAAGCGTTCAAACCTTTTGACATTTTTGATAAATTTTCCCAAGTCAAATTCTAAATGAAGTCTTTTTGACCTAGAACTAACTTAAGATTTCCCAGAGTGTCCCTGATAAATATCAAAGGATTTATTTTCCTCACCTTGTAAAAGAGAGAGGTTAAACTAATTACATTTATTTGATATGTCAAATTACATGGGAAGCATTGTCAAGCAAGAAATGATGCTAAACCTTCTACATATTATATTTGGGTGTATCTTACTAACATAAATGTTCAAGAAATTGTAAAAAAAAAAATAGAAGCTGGTCAAAACCATGTTGCATAGCAGTTAAAAGTCTTTCATTGTTAGCCTACATTGTTCTGCCTCTAGCAAATTTAGTAATCTTGATCTCTCTGATCTTTGTTATCCTTAAAATTAAGATACAATTCATGCAAAGATGTCTAATGAGCATAATTAAATTGTTCTATATTAGAAGGTAAGAGTAGATCCTATTATTCCTCAGTCTAACTTAAATGTGGGCGACCAGATTGGTCTACTTAAGCCTATTAAATAGTATATATATATAACTCCTGAAACTTTCCAGAGAACATTTACCTAGTGCTACTATTAATCCACTCCTATTATAAACCTTCTTCTAGATCTAGTTAGTAAAGGGGTATTGACTTCTCTCTTTTAAGGAGGTACTTTTTCAAGCACAGTTTGCCTCAACACTCATTAATTACCAGTTGGCTAGTAAAATACAGGAAAAAGGCCCATTCGATTCCAAACATTGACCCCTATGCGTGAGAACCCAGGAAGTCCATCGTGGTCATTTCCCTAATTTTAAAATAAAAATTATATTGTATTTTCGGGGATCCTATGGAAATGCTCCTTAATGCATTATAGACTGGCGGTGGCAGGTACCGAAGAATGTTCGAGGAAACGCTCGTCCCGGATCACCAGGGCTCGGGTCTTGGGAAGCCTGCATTGCCATAAGGCTCGATCCAACGCTACAGACCAGGGACCGGGAACCTGGGACTTTGGGCCTGGGGAGCGCCCAGAACTCGACACTCACGCCAGGTCAAGCGGCGCCAAAACCGCAGGAAACCAGGACTCGTCCCTGCGCCAGGGACGTTATCCAGCTCCCCAAAGACTTCCCGGAAGCTTAGACCAAAACGCTCGTTTTCTACGGTGGCTGGAAAGGTCTTTGAGTATGCGGCACAATGTCAGCCGGAAAGAAAGGCGCACGCGCATGGCGGACTTCTCGCTCTGGGTAAGGTCCAGTCACCTCAGGCGTACAGTAGGAGTTTAGCGTCCGTAGTTGCCTCCCCTCACCCGCCGCGCCCTGATTTCCTAGAAGAGCTCCGTCACCCAGCAAACTTTCCCATTGGTTTAGAGATGGAAGGGCCCGCCTTCCCCACTGTCAATTGGCTGCCCGTTCCGCCGGCTGGTTAGGGGCGGGGTTTGGGCGCCTTAAGATTGCATCAGCTGGTCCATTCAGGGTCCGCAGGCGCACGCGCACCATTTCTGGGCGCCCTAGACTACCTCTGACCTGCTTCTTTGCTCTTACCAGGCAGGCGGCTGCTTTCGGCTTCTGTCTTCTCTTCGAGGTTCGCCGTTTGAGGAGAAGGCCAGCAGTCTGTCAGGGAAGATGGAAGACGTGGAGAAGCCGGTGAGCTGACCTGGTGGGCCCCGGAGGCCGGCCTGGGCTCTCCTAGGTGCCGACGCTGCGCGACGGGGCGGGAAGCGGGAGGCCCGGGCCGCGTGAGGCGGGGCAATCCGGGGGCCCGGTGGAGCTCCCGGACAAGTCATAGCCCCCTTTGGGCAGGAATCGCCCGTTCTTAAAGTAGGATGGGGCCTTGCAGTTTATCTTTGGGTCTGTATTCTTTTTGCAGATGAGGACACTGAGACCGTTGAATGAGTGACTTGCTCAGAGCCACCCATTAGAACCTAAGACAGAATCAGGATCTTATGCTTGGGACTTCCAGACTTGTGTTTTTGGCTCACTTCAGGTGGCAGAGATCACTGCAGAGCTTTATTTACGTGATCCATCCTGACACCCTTGGGGGTTAAAGAGCTTCCAGTTTAAGGAAGGGGAAACTGGAAACTCTGAGATCTGATGCATAAATTGCCCAAGTTTGTGTGATTTATGCATAAATGGTGGAGGCCTGATGACCCCATCTGGCAACCTCCAGAGAAGTTACACCCTTTCCTGCTGGGGCGTGCCTTATCGCAGCCATACATGCTAATCATTTCACCTTTGAACCTTCTTTTTGGTGTCATCCATTGCTTAGGAACATCTCTCAAGTCACTTTCACGCTGTCACTTTTTAAGTATTCGTTCTGCCCAGCACTGAGCTGAGCCGTGCGGGTAGGAGGGTGCATAGGACTCAGCCCCTGACTTTGAGGGACTCACAACCTGGTCTGTAAAAGACAAGAAAGCAGCCATAGTGCTGTGTGATCAACCTTGTGGGATTACAGAAGAGGAAGCACCTAACTGCTTGGGAGGGTTCCCAGAGTAGGGAAGGCAGCGAAGAAAAGGCATAGCAGGGTGAATTGTATCTGTGCACATTCTAAACTATGTAAATGTAACTTAAGATGATAAATGGTGTCTATACATAGACTTTTTTCCATCTTTTTTTCCAAGTAAAAATAGTATTATTTACTTTTTTTTTTTGCTTGATAGGCTGTGATCAACAACTTTCCATGTCCATAAATATTCTGCTGTGCATTCTGTTGGAAGTGATGTGTGGCTAACGAAAATATGATTTCCCCTCTTGTAATAATAATTACACAATAGTTAATGTTTATTAAATATTAATATGGGTCTGGTAACTGTATTAATACATTACTTGCATTAACAAAGTCCTAATAACTCTGTGAACTGGGTTTTGTTGTTATTGCCATTGTATAGATGAAGTAACAGGCCTAGCAACAGTAAGTAACTTGCTCAAATCATGTATTCTGTACAGTACTCATAACCCTGGCGCTAGCCTGAATGAATCAGGGATATATAGTCCATCAAACTATTGGACTTCCAGGACATACCTATCTAAACTGTCAGACTTGGATTGAATTTACTTATATTACACTCTCTGTATACTTTTCTGTCAACTCTTAAACATCCCTGAGAATGGTAATTTTAGATTGCTTTTACGTAAATACATAACATAAACTTAAATAGAGAACAGTTGCACACTGTCTTCCCAATTGTTACAGTAAAGAGATAGTAGGCTTCAGGGTTCCAGAAAAACCTATTTTAATGTCCCAGCTCTACTACTTACTAGCTGTTTTCACATAGGCAACTTACTTACCTTCTTTGAGCCAGTATTCTCATTTGTAAAATGGAAAGGTATTTAGAATACAAAAACCCTTTTGTTAATTCTTTCCCTTTTTTTCACTATTCCTCTTCATTTGGCAGATATCATACCATCAAAACCAAACATGTATTATCAGAAATGTAAACTTACTTCATTCTCTCTCCATTTTAAATGTGCATAGACAGACCTGCAATTAATTTTTATCCTTCTTACTAGGTATTCTTGACTAGTTACACCAGTTCTACAGTATAACAAAGCCATGTAGGGAATCCTGTAACCCTGTTGGTTAGTACTTCACTTGATTAGAATGGACCTAAGTTATATTTGTTATTCATCTGTTGATTATAAGTGAACCTTAAAAGTTGATTAAATCCAGACTCCTGGAGTGGGGAAAGTTTTAGCTTATCATAAAATTAAGAGGCTTATTTTTAAAATTTTTTTTAAATCATACAAATAACATGTTTTATAAGATTTAAAAGACAATGAACAAAATGTCCATCAACTGATAAATGGATAAACAATGGAATATTATTTGGCTAAAGAAAGGAATGAAGTACTGATACATGTTACCACATGATAATCTTAAAATGATTATGCTAATTGGAAGAAGCCAATCACAAAAGACCACATAGTCTATGATTCCATTTATATGAAATGCCCAGAATAGGCAAATCCAAAGAGACAGTAACTAGAGTAGTGATTGCCACAGTCTCAAGGCTGAGGGGAAGAGAGAGTGACTGCTAATAGATACAAGGTATCTTTGGGGGGGATGATGAAAATGCCCTAAAATTGATTGCAGTGATAGGTGGCACAATTGTGAATACACTGAAAACCATTGGATTGTGTATTTACATGGGTAAAAAATATGATATATAAATATGTTACTAAGAATGTTTTAAAAAATCAAAGATCACAAACATATAAAACTATTGTAAATAAAATCCCCCCTTCAAAGCCCCAATACAGGACTTACTACTTTCAAACTTTCAGCGACATCATTTGCTTCTAATTGAAGTCCACATTCCTTATGGTCACTTTTTAGTTCTTTTCTTCTGTCTGAGACCTAGTTTGTCTTAACTTGCATTGCTTCCTAAAACAATCCTTCTACTTTAGTCTGGTTGGCTTAGTAATTTCCTTTCTTTCTTTTTAAATTTTAGCATTTCTGACAGCAAGTGTAGGTATACATTTCCTTCATTCTCAAAATCCAGCCAGTTGAGATCCTTTCCATCCTTTAAAGTCCTCTAAAGCCCTAACACTTACTGTGGTACTATCTTGTTTTAACATCTAATCATAGTGCTGCAATTGCTGCCTTTTTCTCCTCCAAGAGTTTCTCACACATATATGCCCATACTTTTCCTAGAGAGACTAAGTTTGCACAGGGATTGGATCTTAAGTTTGCTTCTTCTGCGGGGTTTAACGAAATACTGTGAGCACATAGACTGGAATGGATAGATAAATATTGTGTTCAATTTTTTTTTTCCTATCAATACTCTTACTGAATAAGTTGCCTGCTTCTTTATGGCCATATAACTGAAGCAAGAGTCATGAGAATAGTTAAAATAAAATAAATGAAAATTGAGGATTTGAACAGTATCAGTTACTCCTCTCTACTTTTTGAGGATTTGTTTTTATTGTTATTTGTTAACTTGTCTTTGCCAGTGGTGGAATTTTCAAATCTTTCAAAATCAGATTTCCTTTTTTTTTTTTTCTTTTAAGTTTCAACAGATTTAGGGGAGACAATTGGATTTTGATCACATGGATGAACAGATACTAGAATAACATCTTTAAAACTATTCTGGGGGCATCATCCTAGAATGGTGTCAAATAATACTAAAATATAAAACCTTCATTTCTTGTTTATTTAGGTCAATGCTGGTGAGGAGAAGCGAAAGGAAGGAGGCAAGAAGAAAAGCAAAGAAGTATCTGGAGATGGAGGTCGAGCAGAGGTAAAGGTTATCATCTTAGAGGGCTCTGGCATAAAGAACGGCCAGTGACAAGGAACTGTCAGAGGCTTACCCTATGTGTAAAGATGCTCATGGTGTATGTGGATTTGTAAGATAGTGCTAGATGGAAAAATCAGGAAGAATTAGGAAAGGATAGTCTGAGAGGGGAAAAAACATTTGCAAAAGAAAACAACTGGAGTATGATTGCAAGATGATGATTGTTTTAGAGAGGGGAAAACTGTGATAACTATTCAGTTGTCAGATTGGATGCCTATTCTCTGATGATTTCATTAAATGAGATGTTAAGGAATAAAGACTGGGTGTTTTGAGTAGTCTGAATACAACAGAAATCAAAGAAAGCTCAGTTCCTCGAATTCCTTCTCACTGTTTCCTCAGGTTCAGCCTTGGCGATTTGGTTTTAAGCCAGGCAAATTCCCTTAGGGCCTCTCAAGTCTAGAGAAAATGCTTTCAGTTCTTTTGGCTGACACTGGAAGGAACTGATGCATCAAAAGCCAGCCCAGAATCAGCTTCCTGGGTGTTTTGCTCTAGGAGGTAGTTAAGCTTGTCTTTCTGCTTTATTTTTGAAGTTGACCTGCTACAAACTGTGCTTCACTTTTTGCTTTAGTCATTGCTGCTATTTTATTGGAGACTCTTTACAAAACCACCAGATGGAAAAATCACAAAGGAATAGGCTTTTTAGAAGTAGCACAATAAACTGACTTTAAAGAGCCATTTTTATGAATGCTACAGGTACTAAATTTATGGTCTTTCCATTTACTTAGGGTAAGTTTAAAGATGATCAAGTGTAGTGTTTCTTGGAGCCCTGCCTAACCAGTTCTCTTATGTGTGGTCAGTCTTTTGCCCATTTTACCCCACTATAATTGTGAGCAAAATTGTTCACTGTGCAATTTTTAATTTACAAGTAAATGGAAAAATACAAGTGTTCCCTGATTTTTTTATATACTTTCAATGTAATTGTACATGATATTATGTCACAGTTTGAGAATTAGCCTGGAAATGGGAAATAAAGAATGCAATTAGAGGACTTTTCTGAACAGAGAGTTCAGAAAGTGGGACACGTGATTATGTATGTTTAATGATCAGTCTGACAAAAAAGAGAGTACGATGAAATGTCCAAGACTTTGCCTCCTCCTCTGTGCTCTCATCATTTATCTACCTGTCTTATTCCCCTCCAAGGGCAATGTGCAGATCTTATTCATCTTTGTAATCTCAGAGCCAGGCACAGAGCATCTGCTTAATGAATATTGAATAAATTTTGACACTAAATTCTTCTGAGTAGGAAATGCCAAGTGGCTATGATGATAATTGTAGTAGGATATATAATATTGTGCAGGTGGGTATGACTGCACTGGTGCTTTAGAATGGATAGGACCAGGTAATGTGCTTTGGGCTGAGGTGTTCACATTTTTACTATAGAGTGATAGGCTCTGAGTTTGTGTTAATTCATTGGTTCTTCACCATTGAAGATTTATGGAACCCTGTGAAACTTTGATGAAAAACTCCCAGAGAGCAAATCAGTGACTAAAGAAAGGGAAAGACTGATGTAGGAAGAAATTGTAAAGATATTAGGGACTTCCATTTCAAAAGACATGATTGAAATAGGAAGGAAATTTTGTACAAGGAGGAAAAAAAAATGAAACTACTTCTCATTGGAAACTTACTGTTTTCTAAGAACTTGTATTTAGTCAAAGCATGATGGCTCATGCCTGTAATCCCAGGTACATGGGAGACTGAGGTGGGAGGATCATTTGAGCCCAGGAGTTCAAGGCCAGCCTGGATAGCACATTAAGACTCTATCTCTAAAAAAGTAAATTAAAAAATCAATAAAATTTTTTAAAAAAAGAAATTGTGTTTGAACAGGTTGAAAATACAAATATGTACTTTTTTAATGTTGTGGCTATTCTTATTTTGGCTATGATATTTAGGGAAATGTGTGGATAATCATGACCCATAACCACCAGAAACCACCATTCTGAAGCTGGCCAGACAGTGAATCTATATAGTATGGTTGGTTTTCGTTTTCTGTTATTCCAAGTCAGTTTCTCAAGATACTAGTTTATATTCCTTTCAGATTAAGTGTGTTATGTTAATATATATAGAATTTTGGATAGCATCATCAAAATTAAAGAAGTGTTGGCAACCAAGCACGGTGGCTCACACCCATAATCTTAGAACTTTGGGAGGCCGAGGTAAGAGCATTGCTTAAGCCCAAGAGCTCAAGGTTTAAGGCTGGAGTGAGCTGTGATTGGACCATTGCACTCCAGTGACAGAGTGAAGGTGTCTCTTTAAAAAAAAAAAAATTAAGGGTTACAGCATTTGAATAAATTATGGCTGATTGATTTAAATCCATATGAAGATAGAAGTTCATGGTAAAAGTAAGCCATCTCCTTTCACACTATTAATATTTATGTTATTTGAAGATTGTAAATGCTGTAGATGTTAGTAGTTTATTTTGTGACCACAGATTCACTAACCGCTTTTTAAAATGTTTTATAGAGTCTATGACAGTAGAGGGAGTCAGATCTTTGATTGTTGTCTCTTCTTTTCTTTCTGTGCCAAACTTTGGGGAACCTGAGTGGGTGTTTTATATAAAATGTTTTGGTTCATTTTATCTGCTATGAAAGTAGTATGGTGCTATTTTGTTTCTTTGCTAATTAAATACTCCAGGAAAGAAGATGATCATGGCTTCTTTGAATTCAGCAAATGCTTTACTTAGTGGGATTCCATAAGTCAAATGAATTTATAGTTGTGAGTAGAGATAATAGGCTGATCAGACCATCATCTGAAGAAAATTGAAGCAAAATGGAGTATTTATAGCTCTATTTGTAAGATCATTTAGTTAGAAAAGATCTGAAGAGGGCATCTTAAAAGAAAAATAAAACCACTTGGTATAAATAATGGTAAAATGGTAATTGTTGTCAATTCAGCATTTTGGCAGCCCACATATTTGTTATTTATACTTTTCTATTTTTTAAAAGATTTCTTAAAATAAAAATTATAAGAAGGGGGCATTTAATTCCTTTTTTAAACCTTCACTGAGGAACAGATTGAAGTTGTGTCTGCTGATTTTGGCAGCCCATTTAACATGTTGAAGTAATACTGGGTTTGTGCATCATCTATTTTAATTATTTCTTTCCCTTTTCTAAAAAGGAAAGCAAATATTTACTGATTATTTCCTCATTTTTTGTCTTGCAGTTGAATCCTTGGCCTGAATATATTTACACACGTCTCGAGATGTATAATATACTAAAAGCAGAACATGATTCCATTCTAGCAGAAAAGGCGGAAAAAGATAGCAGGCCAATTAAAGTCACGTTGCCTGATGGTAAACAGGTCGATGCGGAATCCTGGAAAACTACCCCATATCAAATTGCTTGTGGAATTAGGTATGAGCTACATTGGTCATGACCTTCTGTAATTTATAACCTAACTAAACTTTGTTTTATTGTCTTGCCAAATTTTATTCTCATGATATTTTTATGTCACTGTTCCATGTTTTTAATGTGCTTAATTTACATTATTCGAGGTTTTAAACAATCAAGATGAAATTGAGCTTTATAGTCAAAATTCAAAGTTTTTATTCAAAAGAGTCTACTTTGGTCTTATACTATGAGGCATTTTGTATTATTAATCCTATTTGATATAAATGTCACAAAACTAGGTAGACAGTGTTTCACCTCTTTTTTTACTTAAATGTCCTAGTTTTGAAGTTAAAAATGAAGCTAGATAATCTCACATGGGAAGGGTAAGAAACTAATATATGACACATGAAAAAAATATACTATTTTTATAAATCCACCAAAGACTTTATCTTAAAACTTTTATTGAGATGGGAAGAAGTTGTTAATATTTCATGTAACAGAATTAGATGCATACTTTGTAATAGAGTAAAAGCTTTCTTAATCAGTTATGATTGGGATCAATAGTTGGTCAGTTTATCAGAAAATGATAAAGTTGGGAGAACATAAATTGATATATATATCTTAAACCAGGAGTCAGCAAACAGTGGTTATAGTCTGTTTTAGTACAGCCTGAAAGCTGAGGATGGTTCTTACATTTTTAAATGGTTGAAAAAATGAAACAACTAAAAGAATATGCAACAGAGATCATGTATGGCCTACAAAGTCTTAAAATGTTTTAAGTGGCCTTTTATAGAATAAGTTTCCCAACCTTGGTCTTCAACATTTTAACTTAAAATATGTAAATACATATATATTCACTAATTATATTTTATTAATATATGTATAGGGCCAAGGCTTTTTGGGATAGAGAGTGCTAATTAGAGTTTTTAAATTATCTTAACACATTTGAGAAACAGTCTGAGTGCAGAATCCTTCCAAATTTTTATGTTTTCATCCACATTTAACTCGACACTATATTTTTCTGTGAATTACCTTTATCAAGCCTTCTCAAGCATTCAACTTGGTTTTCATAGACCATAATTCACTTGTAGTATTCATTTAATTTATGTTTCTGTATTTTTAAATTTATTTATAATAATTATGTATTGAGTTGAACCACATAAATCACCATACTGGTTGTCAAATGTTTATCATCAATTTCATTGTTGAACCTACTAATAAAAAGTAAAATAAAAAGCACAAAAATAGGTTCGGAACCAACATTCCTGATTCTTGGTAAGCCCATTATGCACCTGTTGGAAGTAGAAGCAGTTAGTCCTGTCAGCTATGAGCATTTATTGTACCATGGACATTGGTTAGTACTTTGTACAAAGTGAATGGAGTGTTTCAGTTAACTTGACAAGTGCGTCTGCCTACAGTTACTTCTGCCTTACTCCATAGAACATAAGGAAATTGTAATATCAATCAAGTTTCCATGTGAAATAATAGAGAACTGGATAGACCTTTAAATATCAGTTCAACCTTTCATTTGAGAGACAATTTTGGAGGTCAGGTTGATGAGATTATATGCATATATCATTAAAATTCAGACTGTTTTTAATCCAGGAACTTTTTCCTCTATCTTCTACAATGTTGACTTCTAGATTGCATTGTAATTAATCAGGTGACCCCAATTGGAAGATATTAATATTTTTACGAGAATTGCAGAATTCTAAGTTGAATTACAGAAAACATTGATGGGCTTTAGCTCTGGAGTTAAGTCACTGATCTGCTATGAGTATTTTATGACATATTTACAAAAGTCAGAATGACTTTTTGTTCTGTGATAAATTATAGCATGAATAATAGGCTGTTTAAAGATCCAGATCATTGGTGGTGACTATGAAAGGGAAGAAAGAAAAAGACATGCTCCATTTGCTTCAAAAAGTTTTTCTTTGAAGTTTAGTTATAAATCTTAGAAGTATAGATTTCTTTGAAAAATTGTAGTGGTCCAGTATGGTCCATGTGTAACTGTGTTACATTTTCAAAGTAACTATTATTAGCATCTCAGGGCACCATTTTGGATCATGAAAGGCATTTTCTTCCCAAAGAATGTTAAAGAACATTAGTCACCTTTGATCAGTTCTTTAATCTTCTGAAAACTGTTTTACACTGATATGATATTAATAGAATACATTTCTTTCTGCCAAACTCATGTTTTATGAAAGGCATATTATTGGCTCCATCTGATCTCAGGAGGAAAGAAAACATTGGCTGTAACCTATGGGAAAGTCGGTAGGAGCATTGAAAATGGAAAGTAATTTGTTGTTTACCTTCTGTTTATTCTTCTCTCTTGATCTTTATGTAAGAGTGGTTGCATAAATTTGGTTATAAACCGTTACACAGCAAGGAAAGAACCACCAACACAGCAAGCCTAGCTCGCTTAAAGCCTTCTGGTGGTAGGTTTATTTGAGATTAACAGTGTAATGGGTATATGCTTTTTCTTCATAGTGGAGAGTGTTGCCTGCCTTTGTTGAGATGTCCAGACTATTACAGACTGTCATTCTCTAGCTGTGCATTCAGATCTATAATCTGGCTCACCTTACTCAACTCTGCTCTAACCACACAGCTTCCAAAGCAAATGGTTTTTCATTTGCATCTTCACTTGTGTCTGTGCCCATGCCCTCATCTGAAATGCCATCTCCTCTTTTCTTCCTGTCCAAACTTTTGATCCTCCGGCCTTTATTTCTTTAACCTCAAAACCTTTCAAACTACTCTGACCTCTGCTGCTTTCCCCTCCTTAGAACTCCTGTGGCTTTTACACTTGTGAGGGTCTGACATTTCATCACTTGGTGATACTTTATGTTTTGTACTGTGTACTGGGGGTCTAGGTAATATTTTTATCCATATTACAAAAATAGTTCTATTAAATAGTCCTTCATTTACCATTATATTTGTTATTAATACTGTTATCTTAAGCATTTATTCTGAGGTTAGCATTGCTTCTCAAAAAAAAGGGTCTGGTACACATTTTAAGCCAGAGGAGCACCAGAAAGGTTATTTAATAGGCCTTTTATTTTTCCTTTTAGGGTCTAAATATCTTGGCATTGTAGAAAATTGATTTGGAGAAATCAAAAGATTAATCAAAGCACTATAAATTGATTTTGCTTATTTGTTAGCATTGTGGTGTCTGCTTAACCACTTCAGTACGGACCTTACCGGCCACGAAACCTTGCCCACACCTGGCACTCAGTCCACACTATAGTTTGTGCTGTTAATTGACGACAAATCCATTTTGCTCTTGTGTGATGAGGAAAGCTTTAAAGCACTGAAAGCTTGTTTTGCTTTACAGGCAGCTTTACTTGTAATGTAAATCAGAGTAGGTAACATATACATATATGTTTTTAGTATGTTATTTTTAAATGTTCACAATTTTATTTTGATAAATGAAAAATTAGAAAAGTCAAGTTTTGTTATTAATGCTAAAGTCGACACTCAGCTGTGCGTGTTCATCTGTGGCTATTGACTATGGTCGAGGCTCGTACCAAAGTGGAATGTCAAATAATAGTGTTCTGAATTTTCAGGATCTTCCAATTACATTCTTAGGTACATTTTTTGGATTTTGTTGCTTTTTCCGTTTTATTTTGGAAAGATATAGATATGTCTATATAAAAAAATATATGTAGTATTAGAATATAATATAGTGTTTATTTTCCTGTTCTTAGATTGAGTATTTTGCTAGAGCCTCTGTTTTTATATATTTGTGTATATTTTTTAAGTCAAGGCTTGGCCGACAACACTGTTATTGCTAAAGTGAATGAAGTTGTTTGGGACCTGGATCGCCCCCTGGAGGAAGATTGTACCTTGGAGCTTCTCAAGTTTGAGGATGAGGCGGCTCAAGCAGTAAGGTTTTATTTAGTATTCATTGAATTTTAGGATGAAGATGCACATTTGCAATCTTTTCCAGCTTATTACTCCTGCCACCGGGTGGCTCAGATTTGTTGATGTCTTGTCATATTTGAAATCTTCTGTTGTGTTCTTTGTTTAGACAACATAATAAAAGTGCTTGTCTTAGAAAATTAAGAAGTAAAGTTGAATAAATTTATTTTCACTCTAGATACTCCAATGGGGAAATGTTTTGGGAATTTTTTAAAAAATTGATTATGCAAGTAAAAATTGTTTACACTATTAGTGAGCACTTTAGCAAGTCGCATATATTTAACAGATAAATTTGAACATTACTTAAAAGTACTCACCTCACTGGACAGTTTATTTCCATAGTTTTTCTCAAGAGTACATATCTGCTGAATAGAACTATAAAAATCAACCTGCATTTGATGGCAAAGTTTTCTTATTTCTTTATGACTATGTTACCACATAAAGGGAAAATAAAGATTTTCTTTTAGTGGAGTGGATCAATGGTTTTCATTTATTCTGAAGTCCGTAAGTTGTTTATGGGAATTTTTTAATATCACTGTGGAATCTTAATAATAAATTTTGGAAATGTTGCTTTGGATTTATTGTGACTCATCTGAATGAAATCAAGTACCGCTATTGATTTCATTGACCCTGTGTTTGTCCTTGTGTTTTATCATTGTGTTGTGCGGTCAAGTTGTGCTATCTTAGTTGTTTGGGGCCAGTTAAGGAAAAACTCTGATTCTTAAGTCATGTTCCATAGCCAACTGTGTGTCATGGTGTCTGGTACATGAGACTATGGGCATATTGACTCAAAAGAACTTGGGCCATTGCAGTCAATAAGACAGTTACATTGTGAGTAGCAATTGTTTTCAAGGAACAAAGTCTATCCCATTTAATTAATGATGCTGGAATGAATATAATTAGCTTGAAAACAACTAAACTGGATGATTTCTAAGATACAAATATAATTTAGTAATTAGAAGCCTTTTAAATTATTTTGGCTGTGTATAAAATCACTGTAGTTTATAGATTTGTAAATTTAGATTTTTATGTATTGAGTAAATTTTATCTGTCTAGTTTCAGGCAACCACATTAATTTATAACTTGTATGCCAAGACTCAAACCATCCCATTTTTCTTTAACTTTTCAGGTGTATTGGCACTCGAGTGCTCACATAATGGGTGAAGCCATGGAAAGAGTCTACGGTGGATGTTTATGTTATGGTCCACCAATAGAAAATGGATTCTATTATGACATGTATCTTGAAGAAGGGTATGTTATATAACTGAATGGATAAAGAAAAATAAAGTCTGAATGACTGTAGGTCCATAAGTTATTTTTAAAGACCTCTCAACAAGGGAAGAATGATATAGAGCTCATTGCTTCATAGTCACCAAGTAGACCAATAACAAAAAGTGGAAAGGTAAAAACCAACTGAAAGAAAAAAAGCCTTAAAGAAAATGCCGCCCCAAAATGGAGGAAGGAAAACCCCAAAGGAAGGTAAGAAAAAAAAAGAAAACCGGGTAAAAGTAAAGGGGCAAGAAGAAGAAAAGGCCCCAAGAAGAACAAAGGAAAAACCAACGGAGATATAAAATATAAAAATAACTTATAAAAATGTTTGGTTTAAAATTCTAATATATGATGCAAAGATCTAATTTGTTTACATTAAAACCCTTAAAATATTCCAAATAAACATTTCGTTAAGCCATGGTGTGATTAGAATGGAAAAAGATTATGCTTTCTTCTCCTTCAGGGGTGTGTCCAGCAATGATTTCTCTTCTTTAGAGGCTTTATGTAAGAAAATCATTAAAGAAAAACAAGCTTTTGAAAGATTGGAAGTTAAGAAAGAAACTTTACTGGAAATGTTTAAGGTATATTGAACCATAATATGTGACCTCCACTTTAATATTATTCATTAATGTTACTTGAAGTTGTATCACTAGAGTTTAGTGTACTATTAATATTTTGTTATTTAGAAAAAGTTAATGTTTTTAAAACATGAAATATTGATAATTTATATTTATACAATGCTCTGATAAGTAGTTCTTTGAGTTATATTTTAGCTATAGTCTTTAGAGGTAAAAGGAAGATTTATTAAAGAAATCATTTTTCCTATTTTCAGTACAATAAGTTCAAGTGCCGGATATTGAATGAAAAAGTGAATACTCCAACTACCACAGTCTATAGGTGAGAATATCAAATGTCATTAAATGCGTCTGGCATGTATGTCATTTTGTCTCTTTTAAAATTTCTTTCATTTTATCTTTAGGTGTGGCCCCTTGATAGACCTTTGCCGAGGTCCTCACGTCAGACACACTGGCAAAATTAAGACTTTAAAGATACATAAAGTAAGCAATGTACTTTTAAATAAACATATATATCTCATATGGTTGTGTGTTTAAACTTCCATTGGTTTCTCTTTTCTACCGTTTTTTTCTTACATATGCAAGGATGATCTTTTTCTCCTGCTGTCTACTAACTGGGTGCTGTATATCATCAGTCTTTTATAATTCAAAGTATTTCAAGGATGTACTGACTCGCCATCACCAGAGCAAGCATAAAGGGATGGAGGTTTGGGGGAGTCACAAAATCAAGCCATCGTGACTCTACAAGCTTTGAGACTTTGCTGTAGGAATATGTGCTTTTGTCCTTTTTATGTCTAAATTATAATGTCTAATGTTACCCAAGTCGTTCTTTTTAATAAAACTAATCCTACCAGTTTTTATACTAGCTCATAAATGGTGATTATTACAAATGCACTTTAAATCAGGATAGTAATTGAGTTATTTCAAAATTTGTTTGTTGGCTCATTTCCATTTTTCCTTAGTCATTTTATGAGAAATGCCCTTGCTGTCAGAGGAATGTTCATGGAATTATGGGTTGAGGGTTATTGATGGGTGGGCATTTTTTGAGGGAAGAAAACAGCCAAATTCTAGCACTCTGGGAGGCGGAGGCAGGTGGATCGCTCTAGGTCAGGAGTTCAAAACCACCCTGAGCAAGAGCGAGACCCCGGCTCTACTATAAATAGAAATTAATTGGCCAACTAATATATATAGAAAAAATTACTTACTCCATAGAAGATAAGGAAATAATATCAATCAAGTTTCATGTGAAATAATAGAGAACTGGATAGACCTTTAAATATCAGTTCAACCTTTCATTTGAGAGACAATTTGGAGTCAGTGTTGATGAGATTATATGCATATATCATTAAAATCAGACTGTTTTAATCCAGGAACTTTTTCCTCTACTCTACAATGTTGACTCTAGATTGCATTGTAATTATCAGGTGACCCCAATGGAAGATATTAATATTTTTACGAGAATTGCAGAATTCTAAGTTGAATTACAGAAAACATTGATGGCTAGCTCTGGAGTTAAGTCACTGATCTGCTATGAGTATTTTTATGACATATTTACAAAAAGTCAGAATTGACTTTTGTTCTGTGATAAATTATGCATGAATAATAGGCTGTTTAAAGATCCAGATCATGGTGGTACTATGAAAGGAAGAAAGAAAAAGACATGTCCATTGCTTCAAAAAGTTTTTCTTGAAGTTAGTTATAAATCTTAGAAGTATAGATTTCTTGAAAAATTGTAGTGGTCCAGTATGGTCCAGTGTAACTGTGTTACATTTCAAAGTAACTATTATTACATCTCAGGCACCTTTGGATCATGAAAGGCATTTTCTTTCCCAAAGAATGTTAAAGAACATAGTCACCTTTGATCGTTCTTTAATCTTCTGAAAACTGTTTACACTGATATGATATTAATAGAATAATTTCTTTCTGCCAAATCATGTTTTATGAAAGGCATATTATTTATTTTATTGGCTCCATCTGATCTCAGGAGGAAAGAAAACATTGGCTGTAACCTATGGGAAAGTCAGTGGGAGCATTGAAAATGGAAAGTAATTTGTTGTTGTTACCTTCTGTTTATTCTCTCTCTTGATCTTTATGTAGAGTGGTTGCATAATTGTTATTAAACCGTTACACAGCAAGGAAGAAACACCAACACAGCAAGCTAGCTCGCTTAAAGCCTTCTGGTGGTAGGTTTATTTGAGATTAACGTGTAATGGTATATGCTTTTCTTCATAGTGGAGAGTGTTGCCTGCCTTGTTAGATGTCCAGACTATTACAGACTGTCTTCTCTAGCGTGCATTCAGATCTTAATCTGGCTCACCTTACTCAACTCTGCTCTAACCACACAGCTTCCAAAGCAAATGGTTTTCATTTGCATCTTCACTGTGTCTGTGCCCATCCCTCATCTGAAATGCCATCTCCTCTTTCTCCTGTCCAAACTTTGATCCTCCGCCTTTATTTCTTTAACCTCAAAACCTTTCAACTACTCTGACTCTGCTGCTTCCCCTCCTTAGAACTCCTGTGGCTTTTACACTTGTGAGGTCTGACATTTCATCACTTGGTGATACTTTATTGTTTTGTACTGTGTACTGGGGTTAGGTAATATTTTATCCATATACAAAATAGTCTATTAAATAGTCCTTCATTTACCATTATTGTTTTAATACTGTTATCTTAAGCATTTATTCTGAGGTTAGCATTGCTCTCCAAAAAAAGGGTCTGGTACACATTTTAAGCCAGAGGAGCACCAGAGAGGTTATTTAATAGCCTTTATTTCTTTTAGGTCTAATATCTTGCATTGTAGAAATTGATTTGGAGAAATCAAAGATTAATCAAAGCATATAAATTGATTTTGCTTATTTGTTAGCATTGAGGTGTCTGCATATGCTAACAAATTAGCATTCGTACTGGCCAGAAACCTTGCCCACAGCCGGCACTCAGTCCACACTATAGTTTGTGCTGTTAATTGACGACGAATCGTTTGTCTTGTGTGATGAGGAAAGCTTTAAAGCACTGAAAGCTTGTTTACTTTATAGGCAGCTTTACTGTAATTTTGTTAAATCAGAATAGGTAACGTATACATATATGTTTAGTATGTTATTTTTAATGTTCACAATTTTATTTTGATAATGAAAATTAGAAAATCAAGTTTTGTTATTAATGCTAAGTCGATGCTCAGCTGGTGCTTCCTCTGTGGCTATTGACTATGGTCGAGGCTCGTACTAAAGTGGAATGTCAATATAGTGTTCTGATTTCAGGATCTTCCAATTACGTTCTTTAGGTGAGTTTTTTGGATTTGTTGCTTTTCCATTTTATTTTGGAAAGATATAGATACTTCTATATAAAAATATATGTAGTATTAGAATATAATATATGTGTATTTTCCTGTCTTAGATTGAGTATTTGTAGAGCCTCTGTTTTTATATATTTGTGTAATTTTTAAGTCAAGGCTTGGCCGACAACACTGTTATTGCTAAAGTGGAATGAAGTGTGTTTTGGACCTGGATCGCCCTGGAGGAAGATGTACCTTGGAGCTTCTCAAGTTTGAGGATGAGGCGGCTCAAGCAGTAAGGTTTTATTTAGTATTTCATTGAATTTTAGATGAAGATGCACATTTGCAATCTTTTCCAGCTTATTACTCCTGCCACCGGGTGGCTCAGATTTGTTGATGGTCTTGTCATAATTTGAAATCTTCTGTTGTGTTCTTTGTTTAGACAACATAAAAAGTGCTTGTCTTGAAAATTAAGAAGTAAGTTGAATAAATTTTTCACTCTAGATACTCCAATGGGAAATGTTTTGGGAATTTTTTAAAAAATTGATTATGCAAGAAAATTGTTTACACTATTAGTGAGCACTTTAGCAAGTCGCATATATTTAACAGATAAATTTGAACATTACTTAAAAGTACTCACCTCACTGGACAGTTTATTTCCATAGTTTTTTCTCAAGAGTACATATCTGCTGATAGAACTATAAAAATCAACCTGCATTGGGCAAGTTTTTATTTCTTTATGACTATGTTACCACATAAAGGAAAATAAGATTTTCTTTAGTGGAGTGGATCAGTGGTTTTCAAGTTATTCTGAAGTCCGTAAGTTGTTTATGGAAATTTTTTAATATCACTATGGAATTTAATAATAATTTAGAAACATTGAAAAAAAAAAATTAAGGGTTACAGCATTTGAATAAATTATGGCTGATTGATTTAAATCCATATGAAGATAGAAGTTCATGGTAAAAGTAAGCCATCTCCTTTCACACTATTAATATTTATGTTATTTGAAGATTGTAAATGCTGTAGATGTTAGTAGTTTATTTTGTGACCACAGATTCACTAACCGCTTTTTAAAATGTTTTATAGAGTCTATGACAGTAGAGGGAGTCAGATCTTTGATTGTTGTCTCTTCTTTTCTTTCTGTGCCAAACTTTGGGGAACCTGAGTGGGTGTTTTATATAAAATGTTTTGGTTCATTTTATCTGCTATGAAAGTAGTATGGTGCTATTTTGTTTCTTTGCTAATTAAATACTCCAGGAAAGAAGATGATCATGGCTTCTTTGAATTCAGCAAATGCTTTACTTAGTGGGATTCCATAAGTCAAATGAATTTATAGTTGTGAGTAGAGATAATAGGCTGATCAGACCATCATCTGAAGAAAATTGAAGCAAAATGGAGTATTTATAGCTCTATTTGTAAGATCATTTAGTTAGAAAAGATCTGAAGAGGGCATCTTAAAAGAAAAATAAAACCACTTGGTATAAATAATGGTAAAATGGTAATTGTTGTCAATTCAGCATTTTGGCAGCCCACATATTTGTTATTTATACTTTTCTATTTTTTAAAAGATTTCTTAAAATAAAAATTATAAGAAGGGGGCATTTAATTCCTTTTTTAAACCTTCACTGAGGACCAGATTGAAGTTGTGCCTGCTGATTTTGGCAGCCCATTTAACATGTTGAAGTAATACTGGGTTTGTGCATCATCTATTTTAGTTATTTCTTTCCCTTTTCTAAAAAGGAAAGCAAATATTTACTGATTATTTCCTCATTTTTTGTCTTGCAGTTGAATCCTTGGCCTGAATATATTTACACACGTCTCGAGATGTATAATATACTAAAAGCAGAACACGATTCCATTCTAGCAGAAAAGGCGGAAAAAGATAGCAGGCCAATTAAAGTCACGTTGCCTGATGGTAAACAGGTCGATGCGGAATCCTGGAAAACTACCCCATATCAAATTGCTTGTGGAATTAGGTATGAGCTACATTGGTCATGACCTTCTGTAATTTATAACCTAACTAAACTTTGTTTTATTGTCTTGCCAAATTTTATTCTCATGATATTTTTATGTCACTGTTGCATGTTTTTAATGTGCTTAATTTACATTATTTGAGGTTTTAAACAATCAAGATGAAATTGAGCTTTATAGTCAAAATTCAAAGTTTTATTCAAAAGAGTCTACTTTGGTCTTATACTATGAGGCATTTTGTATTATTAATCCTATTTGATATAAATGTCACAAAACTAGGTAGACAGTGTTTCACCTCTTTTTTTACTTAAATGTCCTAGTTTTGAAGTTAAAAATGAAGCTAGATAATCTCACATAGGAAGGGTAAGAAACTAATATATGACACATGAAAAAAATATACTATTTTTATAAATCCAACAAAGACTTTATCTTAAAACTTTTATTGAGATGGGAAGAAGTTGTTAATATTTCATGTAACAGAATTAGATGCATACTTTGTAATAGAGTGAAAGCTTTCTTAATCGGTTATGATTGGGATCAACAGTTGGTCAGTTTATCAGAAAATGATAAAGTTGGGAGAACATAAATTGATATATATATCTTAAACCAGGTGTCAGCAAACAGTGGTTATAGTCTGTTTTAGTACAGCCTGAAAGCTGAGGATGGTTCTTACATTTTTAAATGGTTGAAAAAATGAAACAACTAAAAGAATATGCAACAGAGATCATGTATGGCCTACAAAGTCTTAAAATGTTTTAAGTGGCCTTTTATAGAATAAGTTTCCCAACCTTGGTCTTCAACATTTTAACTTAAAATATGTAAATACATATATATTCACTAATTATATTTTATTAATATATGTATAGGGCCAAGGCTTTTTGGGATAAAGAGTGCTAATTAGAGTTTTTAAATTATCTTAACACATTTGAGAAACAGTCTGAGTGCAGAATCCTTCCAAATTTTTATGTTTTCATCCACATTTAACTCGACACTATATTTTTCTGTGAATTACCTTTATCAAGCCTTCTCAAGCATTCAACTTGGTTTTCATAGACCATAATTCACTTGTAGTATTTATTTAATTTATGTTTCTGTATTTTTAAATTTATTTATAATAATTATGTATTGAGTTGAACCATATAAATCACCATACTGGTTGTCAAATGTTTATCATCAATTTCATTGTTGAACCTACTAATAAAAAGTAAAATAAAAAGCACAAAAATAGGTTCGGAACCAACATTCCTGATTCTTGGTAAGCCCATTATGCACCTGTTGGAAGTAGAAGCAGTTAGTCCTGTCAGCTATGAGCATTTATTGTACCATGGACATTGGTTAATACTTTGTACAAAGTGAATGGAGTGTTTCAGTTAACTTGACAAGTGCTTCTGCCTACAGTTACTTCTGCCTTACTCCATAGAACATAAGGAAATTGTAATATCAATCAAGTTTCCATGTGAAATAATAGAGAACTGGATAGACCTTTAAATATCAGTTCAACCTTTCATTTGAGAGACAATTTTGGAGGTCAGGTTGATGAGATTATATGCATATATCATTAAAATTCAGACTGTTTTTAATCCAGGAACTTTTTCCTCTATCTTCTACAATGTTGACTTCTAGATTGCATTGTAATTAATCAGGTGACCCCAATTGGAAGATATTAATATTTTTATGAGAATTGCAAAATTCTAAGTTGAATTACAGAAAACATTGATGGGCTTTAGCTCTGGAGTTAAGTCACTGATCTGCTATGAGTATTTTATGACATATTTACAAAAGTCAGAATGACTTTTTGTTCTGTGATAAATTATAGCATGAATAATAGGCTGTTTAAAGATCCAGATCATTGGTGGTGACTATGAAAGGGAAGAAAGAAAAAGACATGCTCCATTTGCTTCAAAAAGTTTTTCTTTGAAGTTTAGTTATAAATCTTAGAAGTATAGATTTCTTTGAAAAATTGTAGTGGTCCAGTATGGTCCATGTGTAACTGTGTTACATTTTCAAAGTAACTATTATTAGCATCTCAGGGCACCATTTTGGATCATGAAAGGCATTTTCTTCCCAAAGAATGTTAAAGAACATTAGTCACCTTTGATCAGTTCTTTAATCTTCTGAAAACTGTTTTACACTGATATGATATTAATAGAATACATTTCTTTCTGCCAAACTCATGTTTTATGAAAGGCATATTATTTATTTTATTGGCTCCATCTGATCTCAGGAGGAAAGAAAACATTGGCTGTAACCTATGGGAAAGTCAGTGGGAGCATTGAAAATGGAAAGTAATTTGTTGTTTGTTTACCTTCTGTTTATTCTTCTCTCTTGATCTTTATGTAAGAGTGGTTGCATAAATTTGGTTATAAACCGTTACACAGCAAGGAAAGAACCACCAACACAGCAAGCCTAGCTCGCTTAAAGCCTTCTGGTGGTAGGTTTATTTGAGATTAACAGTGTAATGGGTATATACTTTTTCTTCATAGTGGAGAGTGTTGCCTGCCTTTGTTGAGATGTCCAGACTATTACAGACTGTCATTCTCTAGCTGTGCATTCAGATCTATAATCTGGCTCACCTTACTCAACTCTGCTCTAACCACACAGCTTCCAAAGCAAATGGTTTTTCATTTGCATCTTCACTTGTGTCTGTGCCCATTCCCTCATCTGAAATGCCATCTCCCCTTTTCTTCCTGTCCAAACTTTTGATCCTCAGGCCTTTATTTCTTTAACCTCAAAACCTTTCAAACTACTCTGACCTCTGCTGCTTTCCCCTCCTTAGAACTCCTGTGGCTTTTACACTTGTGAGGGTCTGACATTTCATCACTTGGTGATACTTTATGTTTTGTACTGTGTACTGGGGGTCTAGGTAATATTTTTATCCATATTACAAAAATAGTTCTATTAAATAGTCCTTCATTTACCATTATATTTGTTATTAATACTGTTATCTTAAGCATTTATTCTGAGGTTAGCATTGCTTCTCAAAAAAAAGGGTCTGGTACACATTTTAAGCCAGAGGAGCACCAGAAAGGTTATTTAATAGGCCTTTTATTTTTCCTTTTAGGGTCTAAATATCTTGGCATTGTAGAAAATTGATTTGGAGAAATCAAAAGATTAATCAAAGCACTATAAATTGATTTTGCTTATTTGTTAGCATTGAGGTGTCTGCAATGCTAACAAATTAGCATTCGGTACTGGCCACGAAACCTTGCCCACAGCCGGCACTCAGTCCACACTATAGTTTGTGCTGTTAATTGACGACGAATCCGTTTTGCTCTTGTGTGATGAGGAAAGCTTTAAAGCACTGAAAGCTTGTTTTGCTTTACAGGCAGCTTTACTTGTAATGTAAATCAGAGTAGGTAACATATACATATATGTTTTAGTATGTTATTTTTAAATGTTCACAATTTTATTTTGATAAATGAAAAATTAGAAAAGTCAAGTTTTGTTATTAATGCTAAAGTCGACACTCAGCTGTGCGTGTTCATCTGTGGCTATTGACTATGGTCGAGGCTCGTACCAAAGTGGAATGTCAAATAATAGTGTTCTGAATTTTCAGGATCTTCCAATTACATTCTTAGGTACATTTTTTGGATTTTGTTGCTTTTTCCGTTTTATTTTGGAAAGATATAGATATGTCTATATAAAAAAATATATACAGTATTAGAAAATAAAATAGTGTTTATTTTCCTGTTCTTAGGTTGAGTATTTTGCTAGAGTCCTCTGTTTTTATATATTTGTGTATATTTTTTAAGTCAGGGCTTGGCCGACAACACTGTTATTGCTAAAGTGAATGAAGTTGTTTGGGACCTGGATCGCCCCCTGGAGGAAGATTGTACCTTGGAGCTTCTCAAGTTCGAGGATGAGGCGGCTCAAGCAGTAAGGTTTTATTTAGTATCCATTGAATTTTAGGATGAAGATGCACATTTGCAATCTTTTCCAGCTTATTACTCCTGCCACCGGGTGGCTCAGATTTGTTGATGTCTTGTCATATTTGAAATCTTCTGTTGTGTTCTTTGTTTAGATAACATAATAAAAGTGCTTGCCTTAGAAAATTAAGAAGTAAAGTTGAATAAATTTATTTTCACTACTAGATACTTCAATGGGGAAGTGTTTGGGGAATTTTTTTTAAAAATTGATTATGTAAGTAAAAATTGTTTTCTACACTATTAGTGAGCACTTTAGCAAGTCACATATATTTAACAGATAAATTTAAACATTACTTAAAAGTACTCACCTCACTGGACAGTTTATTTCCATAGTTTTTCTCAAGAGTACATATCTGCTGAATAGAACTATAAAAATCAACCTGCATTTGATGGCAAAGTTTTCTTATTTCTTTATGACTATGTTACCACATAAAGGGGAATAAAGATTTTCTTTTAGTGGAGTGGATCAGTGGTTTTCAAGTTTATTCTGAAGTCCGTAAGTTGTTTATGAGAATTTTTTAATATCACTATGGAATTTTAATAATAAATTTTAGAAACATTGCTTTGGATTTATTGTGACTCATTTGAATGAAATCAAGTACCGCTATTGATTTCATTGTCCCTGTGTTTGTCCTTGTGTTTTATCATTGTGTTGTGCGGTCAAGTTGTGCTATCTTAGTTGTTTGGGGCCAGTTAAGGAAAAACTCTGATTCTTAAGTCATATTCCATAGCCAACTGTGTGTCATGGTGTCTGGGACATGAGACTATGTGCAATTAACTCAAAAGAACTTGGACCATTGCAGTCAATAAGACAGTTACATTGTGAGTAGCAATTGTTTTCAGGGAACAAGGTCTATCCCATTTAATTAATGATGCTGGAATGAATATAATTAGCTTGAAAACAACTAAACTGGATGATTTCTAAGATACAAATATAATTTAGTAATTAGAAGCCTTTTAAATTATTTTGGCTGTGTACAAAATCACACTGTAGTTTATAGATTTGTAAATTTAGATTTTTATGTATTGAGTAAATTTTATCTGTCTAGTTTCAAGCAACCACATTAATTTACAACTTGTATGCCAAGACTCAAACCATCCCATTTTTAACTTTTCAGGTGTATTGGCACTCGAGTGCTCACATAATGGGTGAAGCCATGGAAAGAGTCTACGGTGGATGTTTATGTTATGGTCCACCAATAGAAAATGGATTTTATTATGACATGTATCTTGAAGAAGGGTATGTTATATAACTGGATGGATAAAGAAAAATAAAGTCTGAATGACTGTAGGTCCATAAGTTATTTTTAAAGACCTCTCAACAAAGGAAGAATGACATAGAACTCATTGCTTCATAGTCACTAAGTATTCCTATTATCAAAAGTTGGAATGTTATAATCTACTTGAAGTAATAGAAGCTTTAATGAAATTGCTGCTCTAGATTGATGGAGGTAGAGCCCTAAGGTATGTTATGAAATAAAATGGAATCTGGTTAGAGTTAAGTGGTCATGAGTAGGAAAGGTCTCCATGATGACCAAGGTAGAAGCCACTGAGATATAAAATATAAAAATAACTTATAAAAATGTTTGGTTTAAAATTCTAATATATGATGCAAAGATCTAATTTGTTTACATTAAAACCCTTAAAATATTCCAAATAAACATTTCTTTAAACCATGGTGTGATTAGAATGGAAAAAGATTATGCTTTCTTCTCCTTCAGGGGTGTGTCCAGCAATGATTTCTCTTCTTTAGAGGCTTTATGTAAGAAAATCATTAAAGAAAAACAAGCTTTTGAAAGATTGGAAGTTAAGAAAGAAACTTTACTGGAAATGTTTAAGGTATATTGAACCATAATATGTGACCTCCACTTTAATATTATTCATTAATGTTACTTGAAGTTGTATCACTAGAGTTTAGTGTACTATTAATATTTTGTTATTTAGAAAAAGTTAATGTTTTTAAAACATGAAATATTGATAATTTATATTTATACAATGCTCTGATAAGTAGTTCTTTGAGTTATATTTTAGCTATAGTCTTTAGAGGTAAAAGGAAGATTTATTAAAGAAATCATTTTTCCTATTTTCAGTACAATAAGTTCAAGTGCCGGATATTGAATGAAAAAGTGAATACTCCAACTACCACAGTCTATAGGTGAGAATATCAAATGTCATTAAATGCGTCTGGCATGTATGTCATTTTGTCTCTCTTAAAATTTCTTTCATTTTATCTTTAGGTGTGGCCCCTTGATAGACCTTTGCCGAGGTCCTCACGTCAGACACACTGGCAAAATTAAGACTTTAAAGATACATAAAGTAAGCAATGTACTTTTAAATAAACATATATATCTCATATGGTTGTGTGTTTAAACTTCCATTGGTTTCTCTTTTCTACCGTTTTTTTTCTTACATATGCAAGGATGATCTTTTTCTCCTGCTGTCTACTAACTGGGTGCTGTATATCATCAGTCTTTTATAATTCAAAGTATTTCAAGGATGTACTGACTCGCCATTACCAGAGCAAGCATAAAGGGATGGAGATTTGGGGGAGTCACAAAATCAAGCCATCGTGACTCTATAAGCTTTGAGACTTTGCTGTAGGAATATGTGCTTTTGTCCTTTTTATGTCTAAATTATAATGTCTAATGTTACCCAAGTCGTTCTTTTTAATAAAACTAATCCTACCAGTTTTTATACTAGCTCATAAATGGTGATTATTACAAATGCACTTTAAATCAGGATAGTAATTGAGTTATTTCAAAATTTGTTTGTTGGCTCATTTCCATTTTTCCTTAGTCATTTTATGAGAAATGCCCTTGCTGTCAGAGGAATGTTCGTGGAATTATGGGTTGAGGGTTATTGATGGGTGGGCATTTTTTGAGGGAAGAAAACAGCCAAATTCTAGCACTCTGGGAGGCGGAGGCAGGTGGATCGCTCTAGGTCAGGAGTTCAAAACCACCCTGAGCAAGAGCGAGACCCCGGCTCTACTATAAATAGAAATTAATTGGCCAACTAATATATATAGAAAAAATTAGCCGGGCATGGTGGTGCATGCCTGAGTCCCAGCTACTTGGGAGGCTGAGGCAGAAGGATAGCTTGAGCCCAGGAGTTTGAGGTTGCTGTGAGCTAGGCTGACGCCACAGCATTCACTCTAGCCTGGGCAACAAATCGAGACTCTGTCTCAAAAGAAAAAAAAAAAGAAAACAGCCAACTTTGTGCTGCAGAATGAGTCTGACCCACCCTAGTTAGACCTCAAAGCAATTGGGAGTTAAAGTAAGTGCAGTGTTTACAAATTTGAATGTTTAACAGTTAATCCTTTCTTTCCCCTTAGAATTCCTCCACATACTGGGAAGGCAAAGCAGATATGGAGACTCTCCAGAGAATTTATGGCATTTCATTCCCAGATCCTAAAATGTTGAAAGAGTGGGAGAAGTTTCAAGAGGAAGCTAAAAACCGAGATCATAGGAAAATTGGGAGGGTATGTTAAAGTGTCTAGACTGAGTTTTCTTCAATTTCATTTGGAATTTAGCTGTATTAACTGGGATTTTCATTTTGAAGCAATGCTGTAGCTTTCAAGTAACTATGGTACTATGTCCTATATGAGCTATAAATGCTAATTGTAGTATCTTTCTGAAGTGTGCTCAGTACCACACAAAAATGCATTTTGACTACTACTATTATTGAGAACAAATGCTGGTGACCTACAGTTTTCTGTAAGAGAAGTATAGCAGCTTTCATAGAGCTGGGAGAACTAGGCTTTGGAAACTATCTACTCTCACTGACCCATTTTTGAAATGTGGAAATAAAGTCCCAGAAAGTTTAATCTACTTGTTGCCCACAGTTACACAGCAAGTATTAGATTCTGTGCTGTCATTCCTTTTTACTTATCTCTCTACCCCTAAATAGCCTCTAAACTGGAAGTCAGGTTTGATAACATTCTCCCTTAAAATAGGGTTTTCTCTGTGCCAGTGGTCTTTGGCTGTTAGGTCATGAAGCTTGAGCTGGAGGCAGCATCCAGTGCCATCTCCCTTGACTCCGTGCCATTCCAGCCAGCAGGGATTGGCGGGCCCTTCTCTAGAGCTTTGGGGATTTGGTGAGAGAGGTGATGAGCAAGGAGGCAGGAAGATGTGTTTCTTTCAACCGTCACAAAGCCAGCCAACTTCATCTCCATCATCTATTTTGTTATCAGTGTCTTTTTCCCAGTCTCCTTCCTTCCCCCTCCTATTAAAAAAAGAAAGAAAGAAAGAAAACCAAAAACAACAGCAACAACAAAAACCAAGATCTTGGAGCTCTGAGGAATTAAAAACCTTGAGAGCTACTATAGTGGTGGTAAGAGAATTGAGTCTCTTGCTCCACATCACTCTTGAGTAAGCTTGACAGGACTGAGGAATGTAATAGGGAATGTACTTGTGCTAAGTTGTAAATCAGCTGCAATTCTGTATCATTAAATTGTACACTAGAAATGTTGTGATGGGTTAATTCAGGATTGGCATAATTAAAATAGAGATATCATGACCGTATTCTGAACTCAAGAACACCACAGTTTATGTTGATGGCATGTACCTATATATTAATATTCTTTTGCTTTTTTTTTTTTTTTTTACCCAGGACCAAGAACTATATTTCTTCCATGAACTCAGCCCTGGAAGTTGCTTTTTCCTGCCAAAGGGAGCCTACGTTTATAATACGCTTATTGAATTCATTAGGGTAAACCATATTCATTTTCTTCTGAAGATTTAGGATATAAGATGATTTTATTAAATAGGTCTGCTGAAAGGAAAGATAATCTGCATTTGAGAAGAAATATATAAAACAATAAATAAAGGTAGAAATCTGAGGTCTCATAGACTTTCTAATATGTGATTTTTGTCCATATACATAAGTATATATGCAGAGGGAAGCTGATACCTTGAAGTGGGACCTATAGTCCTTTATATAGAAGCTCTGTGCTCTCTTTGACCTTTCATTTGTGTTTTCTTTGAAAAAAACAAGTTAGTCTTTACATTCCTTTTTTTTTTTTTTGTAAATTATGGAATGTTTCAAGCATGAGTTTATAGAAAATAGTATAAACAATATTTTATGTACTCACTACCCAGATTTAACAAATATTTACATTTGGCTACATTTGCTTCAGATTTTTTGTTAAAGATGTGAAAAAATACACCTACAGTTTTTAAAAAGCCCTTTTTAGCACTCCTTTCTGATTCATACCCCTCCTTTTCTAAAAGAAACTACTATTTTGAAGTTGGTATGGATTCCTTTTGTCTATGTTATCTACATCTACTCCATATATATGTACTCTTAAATTATTTATGTGTTTATGGATTTCAGATTAACATATATGAAGCCTCATTATGTTTTAGACTATATTTTTTTTTTTGCATACTTAGAAATCCAGATAATTTTCACGTGTTACCCACTATTTCATTACATAACTACCACAGTGGGCTCATTCATATATTAATGGACACTGATGTGTAATTTTCCCACATTGCTAACCATGCTGCAATAGCATTGTTTTTATAAGCCTCCTTATGTATGTATGCTAAGAGTTTCCTGTTTGGAATATACCTACTAATGGAACTTCGGGGTCATGGTGTATATGCATCTTGAACTTCACTAGATAGTATAACTCTTTAAATTTTTACTCCCACCAGAAGTGTGAGCATTTATTTGCCTACTTATGTATTCTGTTTGTTTTCTATCAGAGTGAATATAGGAAAAGGGGATTCCAGGAGGTAGTCACCCCGAACATCTACAACAGCCGACTCTGGATGACCTCAGGCCACTGGCAGCACTACAGCGAGAACATGTTCTCATTTGAGGTGGAGAAGGAGCTATTTGCTCTTAAACCCATGAACTGCCCAGGACACTGGTATTCAGCAGCTTTGAGTTTCTATTGAAGATTTTTACATGCCATAATTAGTCCGAGATTACTTTCTCTCCTTTAAAAGAATTTTTGTTAAAAACAAATTATGTAATCAGAAGAGTATTTAAATGTAACATTATTATTGTATTCCTTAGATCTTTAGACATTTAATAATGGCACTGGGGTTATAGCAGTATAGAAGGTAGAATATAAAACAGGGAGAATGAATATGGAATGTAGTTAATTATCTAGGTTTGAGTTTTTTTGTTTTAAGAATCCTGTTCTGGCCCAGTATGATGGTTCATGCCTACAATTCCAGCACTTTGGGAGGTCAAGGCAGGAGGATGTTTGAGGCCATAAATTTGAGACCAGCCTGGGCAACATAGCAGTGAGATCCTGTCTGTATAAAAAAATTTTTAAAGGGAAAAAGAAACCTGTTGTATCAAAACCTACTGCTGATGAATTAACATTCTTAGAAAATCTTCCCTCCCTGAGGCTGCTCCAGAATGTTAAGTAAAGAGCAACTTGGGGGATACAGGTAGCTCTGTGTCCACAGCTCCTAGGATCTAGGTCTATAGGGCAGAGGAGGTGAGAGAGGAATTGCCATGAAAAGGCTGGGTTATAGGTCAGGAAGCCAGATGAGTTTATTCTCTGTTTACCAGATTCTTCCTTTTTTTTCTTTCTTTTTCTTTTTTTCTTTTTTATATGCTCTGTTACCCAGACTGGAGTGCAGTGGCCTGATCATAGCTCACTGCAGCCTCGAACTCCCAGGCTCAAGCAGCTTCCTACCTCAGCTTCCAGAGTAGAAATGGGATCCAGCTATGTTACCCAGGCAGTTCTCGAACTCCTGGCCTCAAGTCAGCCACCAAGGCTGGCTGAAATTCTTCAGTTTCTGAAGTACCTTCAGACTAACAAGGAAACTGAAGCACCTTTGGGATTGACAAGAGAGCAAATCTAACTTTAGTTTACAGTATTATAAATGATTTGTATATAGCTGAGATTTTTTTTTTAAATATGAGCACTTAAAGGCAGTCCTCAAATTAATGGAGACATTGAGCACAACGCTTTGACCCCAGGCTTATGAGAATACATTTTTTATTCTTTCTTAGCTGCTGTTGGTTTTATTATCATTTATTTGCTGTTTTATTCATATAAGTGCTTCTATTGCTATGTAAAGCCCAGTATTTGAGGAATGTCATTTGTATGGCAAGTAGAATCATTGACTTCTTGACAGCTTTTCATGAAATTAAACGTAGTGTTAGAAGAGCAGTTTTATTCTTATAAACTTAAGTATCAGTGGATTTTAATTCTCTCTTTTCTTCAGCCTCATGTTTGATCATCGGCCAAGATCCTGGCGAGAGTTGCCTCTGCGGATGGCTGATTTTGGGGTACTTCATAGGAACGAACTGTCTGGAGCACTCACAGGACTCACCCGTGTACGAAGATTCCAGCAGGATGATGCACACATATTCTGTGCCATGGAGCAGGTATGAGACCCTGTGGAATAAAATACTTTGAAACAAGTGTCAAGAAAGTCAAAGAAAGTAACCACTGTTTCTGTTTTTTTAATTTAAAGATTGAGGATGAAATAAAAGGTTGTTTGGATTTTCTACGTACTGTATATAGTGTATTTGGATTTTCTTTTAAACTGAACCTTTCTACTCGCCCTGAAAAATTCCTTGGAGATATTGAAGTATGGAATCAAGCTGAGAGAGTAAGTGGTATTTTTCAGCATTCTTCAAATACTGTTTGAAATTGGCTTGTTCTGAGATGTAAGAAAGTCAAACCTTTTTAAATGGATAAAAGCAAAAGAAAATTGGAAATGGTTCCTAGGCTTGAGTAAGCTAGGTTTTTTTCTGTATGATTTTTGTATTTCAGAAATGATTGAATGTTTTAATTTTTTTTTCTGGTTTTGAGCTTTAAATGGATTTGTGGGAGAGTGTTTTAAGTAGACAAAATTATAAAGCAAAGAATAGTGATCCATGAAAGTCATTATTGTATTTTTAGTTTGAAATTAGGCTAGAAGAAGAGAAGTTACAGGTGAACAGAAATAAATTACTTTTTCTTTATCCTTAGCAACTTGAAAACAGTCTGAATGAATTTGGTGAAAAGTGGGAATTAAACCCTGGAGATGGAGCTTTCTATGGTCCAAAGGTCAGTACCAAAGTATATTTGGATAATGTGATTTTCATTTGTGAGTGAAGAAGAGATTACTTTAAAATAAGTTAAAAAAGAAAAGTCAGCCCTAATCTCACTAATGAGTCGAGATTTAATATCAACAGCATCTCTTAATAACCCAGTGTTTGCTTCTTAGATTGACATACAGATTAAAGATGCAATTGGTCGGTACCATCAGTGTGCAACAATCCAGCTGGATTTTCAGTTGCCCATCAGATTTAATCTTACTTTTGTAAGGTGAGTTTTTGGTGTCTGCCCTAAATATTCTTCTTCAGGGAAAGAATATAAGGGAAAATATACGTAACAAGGCAAAACAAATTTTTTTTTTCGTTATAGCCATGATGGTGATGATAAGAAAAGGCCAGTGATTGTTCATCGAGCCATCTTGGGGTCAGTGGAAAGAATGATTGCTATCCTCACTGAAAACTATGGGGGCAAATGGTAATTGTCATCATTCTTTTTGTCTAATCAGTATAAATTAACTGGAAGAAATGTCTGCTATCCAATTTAGTTAGGAGATGGAAAGAATGATTTCAGTTGGTCACTTCTAATTAATTGCAGGGGAGAGTATTTGAGGCAGGCCCATGAGGAGAGCAGCTGCTTCTCCCCATGGAGCCAAGTCTCTAAGATAGGGGTCACCACAGAGGATAAGGAAATTGATAGGCAACAAAGAGAAATAGAAGAATACCCAGAGACTAAGGTATAGTTTATAGTTTTGATAGGCAACAGAGAGAAATAAAAGAATACACAGAGACTAAGGTATAGTTTATAGTTTTATATATATATATAAAAAGATCAGATATAACACAGCAGGGGTACTTAGGAGACCTGCGTATCTCCATAAACGCCAGCAATATGGTTAGATTCATACAGGTTTTTATAATCACAGGCATCAATTACCAGTTGTCAGGGTAACATATTTGCATATCAGGGAATGCAGTTGCTAGGGGATACAGGTAGTGGGTTAGGGTCTAAAGTCCTCTCAAGGGGCTTATAATCTATCTAGGTGAACAAACAGGTACAAAGTCTTTCAGGGGCTAAATTCTAAGAGGTAGTTGTCAATTAACAAAGTTATAACAAAAGAGGTATAATGACTATATTTCTTTGAGTAGTTATAGTGGACTTAAAGGTAGACAGACAGGAGAGAGCAGGAAGCCCATCTCTATAAAACAGGTTGTTTATAACCACCGGGGCACGTCTCTGGGCAAAGTGCACTCATCGCGTCTCCGGCTCCCATCCTGTGGGCCATATTTGCCTTGTCTTGTCTTTCAAGATATAGGGAACCTCACAAATTTTGAGATACCGGGAAGCCTCCTTGGAAAACATCCTTACTGGAGATTTGAGAACTCTTCCATGATAGCAGCCTCTAATAAGTGAACCATTGAGTCCACACATTCCTTCAGGGCAAAACCCTGCAAACTCCTGTTTCTGTCTTTAATATAATAATACAGGGTTAAACAATAAAATGATGGTCTTATGAGCCACATCTCATTAATTCCTCAGTCATATTTCTCAATAATTAATGACAAGCATTCACTAAAAAGTAAGGAATCACAATCTAAACTCAAATTGTTTAGCATTAAGAATATTTGTTTATAAGCTGGGCTATTATTATTTTAATTTCAGGACTTGATTTGTTTGAATGTTATATAATACTTTCTAATTAGGAATTATTATTCAATAAGAAGCATCTTTGTTGTTTTGATTGTTTCTCAAGTAACTTTGTTTTGGGATTTATGGCTTTTGTTGTTTTTGACTGAGTAAATGAGTTGGCTTTTGACTGACTTTGTTCAGCCTTGCTGATCACTGTAAGCAAATATTTTAACATCTTTTAGAAGCCAAGCATTTTTTTTAAACTTTATGTGTTAGGATTAGTTTTTTTCTGAATTTTCTTCCCTTAATTTTTATTGAATAATTTTTTAAAAAACTAAGTTTTAAAAGTAGCCCTTACATGTTTTTAGGAAAAGATATTGAAGAAATGTGTTGTCCTTGTTTAGTGAGTATTCCCAGATCCACATTAAATATTTTTATTATCTTCTAAAGGCCCTTCTGGCTGTCCCCTCGCCAGGTAATGGTAGTTCCAGTTGGACCAACATGCGATGAATATGCCCAAAAGGTAATCCTTAGATATGACTTTTGTTTCAATTTAATATCTGTTGAAGCTTTTCAAATCTTCTAAGCCCTGTATTCTTAGTAAGGCAAGCTTGTGATATCAAGCAATATTATTTTTAATCTGTGATAAGCCTGAATAGATATTAACCTCTTTAATGCTTTTCCACATTGTTCCATGATCATAAGACATATTCAGGTAATATTTTATATATACTTGTATATTTTAGTGTTTAGTATTTTAAAAAACTAAATAAATATCGAGTACCTCAGTATGATATGTAAATTCAAATGCAAAATACAGTTTAAGGTGCTCTTTATGAAAGAGTAATTTTGCTTCATTTTTAATGCAAATTTATTTAGCTATTTGAAACTTTTTTCAGGGTAGTTGTTCTGCTATAGTGGTAACTCCATACTAAGCAATTTCAAATGATTAAAAGTTGATAAATGAACAATACTGTAACATCAAAACCATTATGTTTTCAGACTATCTAAATAAATTGCACTCAGGTCTTAACTGTCTGTAGGAAATAATTGGACATTAAACCAGCCAATAAGTAACGTGTTTCTATTACTTCACACAGTAATTTTATTTGTAAGTGATGAGAAGCAGTGTTCCATGGTTATTAATTGCATTTATTTGCATTATGAAAGCTCACACAGTAGGAAAAGTCTGTATTAGTTATCTTAGTTCTCAACTGGAGACAGTACTGACCTCCCCTTTCCCTCTAAGGGTTGAGTGGCATTTGGAATTATGTGCTGGTGGGGTTCTCATTTAGAGGTGGGGAGGGTGGTTAATTTGACTTGAGGGGAAAGAAAGGACAGTACTACTCATACTTAATGACTAGAGACCAGAGATGTTAAACACTCTGCAATTATCAGGCTCTGCAATTATCCTCAGTTGCAGAATTGCCCATCTCATATCCACACAGTTCCCATATCTAGAAACTAAAAAACTGATGTTTTATTCTTAAAGTTACAGTTGAAGGTATAGACCAGGCGTCCTCAAACTACTGCCCGCGGGCCACGTGCGAGTGTTTTTGCCCATTTGTTTTTTTACTTCAAAATAAGATATGTGCAATGTGCATAGGAATTTGTTCATAGTATAGTCCAACCCTCCAACGGTCTGAGGGACAGTGAACTGGCCACCTGTTTAAAAAGTTTGAGGACCCCTGGTATAGACTTATCCTGGCCCTCTAATTGTTAAACTCTGTAAGAACCCTTCTGAAATTTGTGTGCTTTTAAAATCATAGCAGTTTAATTGGTTAATGATCATTAAGGCATAAAAACCTATTAGTTAAGCTAAGGCTTGTGTATAATACAGTCAAAGGTAAAGGTAATTTACATTGTTTCAAAATGATATTCCCCAAGGACATAAACTTTGGCATTCACAAATAGTCTCAAATTTACATATAGCTTGGATTTGAAAAATTAGTGTGTTGGAAATCATTTGGAATATTTTTCCATAGAAAGTTGAAAGAAATAATTGAGCACCTAGGTCAACCCAAGAAAATTAGTTTTACTAGTGGTACTTAATGGAGTCCTGATAGTTATTGTTTCACTTTCAGCCTTACCTAAGATGTTTTCATGGGAAAATTCATTCTGCATTTGACCAGAACTTCCAGAAACTCCTACCCTTCTCCTTAGTGTTATGTGTGGAACTGTGGTAGTGATTCTGCTTGGCAGAAACTTTGTAACTTCTGTGTTTGTAAAAAAAGGACAGGTGGTCACTGCCTATGGCTTTACACTAGGACCCAAGGTTTCTGCCTCAATGGCAGAAATAAGAAAGGAACTCCAGCTTCTAACCCTTCTGTCCTTTCTTTGCATTATTGGCCACTGTAACTGTTTTCAGCCAGATATAAAATGACAAACTCTCAAAGCATACTGTTTATGAGCAGAAATATATTTTTTCATATAGCAGAAATATATTCACTCATTGTTAATTTGCTCTAAATTATTTTCAGACTATTAAGTCTTTATTATTCTATTTTAAATTTAAGGAACTAATTAATGGCCAGGAGAATCTGTTAAACTTTCTGTTATGTGGATCTTAATATTTATTCACTTAAAGACCATCTCTTAGAAATGTTGAGTACATGGTGTTTTTTGTTTCTTCAATCTGAGGTTCATGTGAAGTGATAGTGAAATTAAATGGTTCATTAAGATCCTTTTGTCATATTAATGATAATTGGTTTTCAGGTGGATAGAAAATTTAGTCCAGTTTATTTAGTCTAATTTTAAATTAAAATTGGATCTAGTGTATTGCTTTTTTAATCTCAAATCTGATCTTTAAATTATTCTTAAAGAATTCTGTTTAATTAGGTCATTATACACAGTATTAAAAGACAATTTTATATGGCAATTTATATTCCATTTTTTAGAAACAGAGAAGAAGCTGTTGGGATGATTTTAATCTATTGTTTGTGCTATCAACATTTTATTTTAAAGACTATTGCACACATAAATGGCAAAAATGAATGGATTTGTGTTTCCAACTTGGCAGCCTATTTGTGGAATCAGAAATACTATATTCTCCATTAGACTGTAAATCCATCATTGGATGTTATATGAAAGATGATAAACTACTGTTTCTGGCAACAGTATCAGGAACTTGAGATATGTTTTCAAAAGGATTCCTTTCTCTTTATAATGTATGTTTTAAAGGAGCTGATTGAATTTAGTCGATTGCCTAAATTCTGATTTTTAAGGATTTTCTAAAACATTTATCTCGAGCAAAATAGATTATTTTGATTGTTTTAATGTAGACCCAAGTCATAAATTAGTAATATATGCTTCAATATATCTGTTAGCATTCCTTTTTAATGCTTGCATGATTATCTAAATCCTATGTTGAATGAAAGAAATCATTTAAAGTCAAAATATAATCCTAATTTTAGATCTGATGAATTCTATATCTGTGTTTAAATAGGTACGGCAACAATTCCATGATGCCAAATTCATGGCAGATATTGATCTGGATCCAGGCTGTACATTGAATAAGAAGATCAGAAATGCACAGTTAGCACAATATAACTTCATCCTAGGTAAGAAAGGAAACTTAGCAAAGAAAATTTGCCAAACTTTAGGGAAATCTACTGAAATCTTGAGGCAAGCTTAAGTAAATTGTGGTCAAGAATCTGTTTAGTTCCTTCCTGTCCTGATTCTTAAACTATTATGTTTCTTCAACTATATAACAAAGGAAAATTTTGGTTTGTAGGGGAAAAAAGTCTTCAATGGTTTGTCTGAAAGTTTTCTCCCCTTTACCTCATATTTCTTTATACAGTAAGTTTTTATTATTAAGTTAGCTGGATTAAGTGACTCAGTAAGCACAGTAGTTTTAGGTATTGGAAAGTGGTTTTTATCTATTTTTTTTAAATGAATAGATTTTTAAATCATTTGGCCAACTACACATGGTCTCCTATATACGTTTTAATATATTAGAAGCTGCATAGCTTTTGAGTCACAGGATCATTTCTGTTCACATGTTCAATATGAATCCTTCCATATCTTTAAATTAAGTCTAACAAAGCTTTATGTCTTTTGTTTTAGTTGTTGGTGAAAAAGAGAAAAACAGTGGCACCGTTAATATCCGCACAAGAGATAACAAAGTCCATGGGGAACGTACCATTTCTGAAACCATTGAGCGGCTGCAGCAGCTCAAGCAGTCCCGCAGCAAACAGGCAGAAGAAGAATTTTAACAAAGTACTTTGCCAAGATTGGCTTGGTGGAAACAGATGAGCAGTGTTACCGTAATATTAATCTTATACTCTGGAAGACATCAATTTATATTGAACTTGTAATAGCTTAGCAGAGTCTACATAGGTAACTGCAGGATCAACCTTTTTGACCTGGACAGATTTTAGGCAATGTATATTTGAAGGAGTTAATCAAAAGAGACCCATTAAAGTGATTTTATTCATTAAATGAGCACTGGAAATAAAATATGAGGAATGCTTTAGTGTAATGTGAGAGAACTTTTTTATAAATTTAATGTGGCTGAAAAATAAAAATTTTTAAATTCAATTAATAAAAAAGAAAAACTAGAATTGGATCATGGTGTAAAAATAAAAACTTTCATTCACAGAAGTTTTAAGACTGCTCTGTCCCCTACATGTATGCACACACACCTAGAACAAATCGTGTGATCAGTATTTGTCTTTACAGTTTTACAACAAATATGATGCAGCTGGGTGGAGAGGAGGCAGGTCTATAGCATATGCTGTTCTCAGACTGAGATGTGAGCTAAGTGCTGGCTCAGTTATGGGATATACATATATATATATATATTTTTTAGTGTCATTTTTACTTCTATCTGAATGAATACCTTTTCAAACAAAAACTACCATGGATCTATTATAGAGTAGATTTGCACAAATTTTTAAGATAAAGGATAAATCTTCAAAGAAATACCTGTTTATGGGAGACAGTTCTGGGCCATAGAATTTGTTATACAAATTCTCTATTCTCCCCTAAGGGATCACTTTCAAATTTTTCTGCTAGTAAATGGTGATTGAGAGAAGAGCATAAAATAAAGAATTCCTTATGTGGATATATATTAATTCCTCCTTAATATCATTTTTGGAAGGCAACATCTTGTCAGTTCTATAATAACCTCAAATAGCTTGTTTGCTAGGGCCACTGCAAAGAGAAGCCAATTTGCATAGATTAATCCTCACTTTAATAAAGGAGATAAGATCTTTAATCATAGGAAGTTTTTTGAAACTTCCTAATTAATCCTTGCTTCTGAATGTCTTTAAGATTTAGCCTTTGATTTGTAATTTTTATATGTATATTAAGGGAAACTTAATTTTATATTTAAACTAGACTACATTGTCAAATTATGATACCACAATTTCAGATTAATTTAAAACTATTTTAAACTATTTTAAACTATTAAACTATTTTAAAACACTATCTTAGTGTTTTTCTTCAGTTTTAAAATACTATTGCATAATCCATTTGAGTGGTTTCCATAATATGTGGTCCAAAGAACAACTATGGTTTAGATTTTGGTTTGGGTTTTGTCTTCCACTTAAACCAACAGATGGTTTATGTGATACATTAATAACTTCCTTTGAAACATTTAGAGAAGCTTTATAGATCCTTCGAAACTTCGGATATAAAAGTGTAATGAAAACAAGTTGGCAGGACTGGGAATCAAGGATTTCTCTTTAATACCTACTTAGCTTAGGTGGAATGAAAGAGCTCTTAAAATTGTAGGGTTTGCCCCACCAAAGCTCTTATCTCTAGTGTTTTGTTTTTCTTCTCTTTACTGGAAGGCAGAGACTGCTACTTACTGTTGTATGCATCTGTTATGGCACATAAGTTGAAGATCTGAAAGAACATAATTACTCAACTTTTATTGAGCATCTGGCCTATTGAAAGTTATATGGTCTTAGTAAGCAATATACAGGAACAAATTGGGAACAATAACAACACGTGTGCAACTGCCGTGTAACAAAATTTGTAAAGACAGATTTTGTGAAGGAAAGAGGTAAAACTGAAACCAAATGGTGAAGGAAGTGATGACCAGGGCAGGAAATGTGGAAAAGAAACAGGAAGATTATGGCTTGTCAGGAGTATAGAACAGTGATGTTAAGAGTTGTAGGCAAGTGAAAAGGGTGAAGTTACCTGGAATGTTGGGCCGAATTCAGACTTGAACCCTCATAACGTTGTGTTCCCCCTCAATCTTGCTGCTCTTCCTCACCTTTACTACCGCGATGAACACCTGCATCTCTTCAGGCCTACTACACCCTGACTACTAGTTAAGTTTCTCATCATGGGCATATGAATCACTAGGAGATGGTGTTAAAATACAGTCTTATTCTGGAGGTCTGGGCTGGGTTGGAGATGCTGCAATTAAGCTCCCAGTTGATGCAGAGTAGACTTTGTGTCTACTCACTTTGAGTAGAAGGCTCTCATTTTCCATTCTCCCTTAATTCTCTTCTGCCTTAAAAAAAAAATCAAATAGCCATAAAAGACTCATAAGGAGACTAGCCTCTTGTCCTTTTGACCCTCACCTGACCTCCACTTGCCAAGGCAACCACTTTTAGACATGCTGGTATATTGCTCTCTTCCTATTTCTAAGTACTATTGCTATCTCTTGATTCATAACTTTATTTTTTATTTTTATTGGATTTTTGTAGAGACGGGGTCCTGTTCTGTCAGGTCAAATTCAGTGGCACAATCATAGCTCACTATAGCCTTGAACCCCTGGGCTCAAGTGATCCTCCACCTCAGCCTCCCAAGTAGCTAGGACTACAGGTGTGCATTACCACACTCAGGTTTTTTTTTATTGGGGGTGGGGGGAGACGGGACTAGGCTATGTTGCCCCAGGCTGGTAGGCTGGTTTTAAACTTTTGGCATCAAGCAATCCTCCTACCTTGGCCTCCCAAAGTGCTGAGATTACAGATGTAAACCATGGCAATCAGCCAATTCATCACTTTTATTTAATTTATTAATTATTTTGTTTCTTTATTTTGAGACAGGGTGTGACTCTGTCACACAGGCTGCAGCGCAGTGGCCTGATCAGAGCTCATTGTAAGCCCAAATTCCTGGGTTTAAGCAATCCTCCTGCCCTGGCCTCCCAAAGTGCTGGGATTACAAGCATGAGCCCATCATGCCCAGCCTCGATTCATCACTTTTAGAATCCTTCTATTGACTTCGTGTTTCAGAAAATGAGGGATTTATTTCATACCCCTTCATTTCCTCCCTCCATCCTTCTAATGTCATATTTCAACTTTTTGTTAAATTGGTATTAGGTGTCTTTGTTATGTCCATAAATATTACGCTCTAATAAGCCAATTAGTATTCTATTGTAACAGGCTCCAGGAACAAATTTCAATGACACCTATGTGTTTTTTATAACTCTCTCCTTTAATTACTCAACATTTTGAGTTATTTTCCAGAAATGATGGATTTTCTGCAAGACAAAGGAGTTGAGAGTCTGAAAGCCCCAGAGCAGACTTCCTGATGCCAAGATTCACTATCACCTTCAACCTGCCCCAAAGCAGGAGGCCCCTCTTTAAAAAGCCCTAGATCTCTTTTGTTGGGGAGAGAGATTTAAGGCAGCCTCCACCATTCTCCAGAGAAGACTAGTCTTTTGTATTAAAAATTCCTTTCTTCGTTGTCAATCCTCCTTGTCTCAATAATTGGATCTTTGTGTGATGAGGAACTGGACCCAGGCTGAAAACCCACTGCAGTTTCAATAACACTCCAATTACATTTTCTGTAGTACAACTTTTTGTATGTGTTATTGGAGTGAATAATTCTTTTTCTTTTAAAATGTTTTCTTTGAATATCTGAGTTGAACAGCTTTTATTCCTTTCATTACAGTTTGCCCAACAAGCAAACTTGACAATTTACTGGTTTCATTTTCCTTCCCAGACAAATGGCTTCTAGACTCCTCCAGTCTCCCACTGTAACGTGGACTCGTGGCAGCCCTCAGCTCACCTGTGTCAACCTGCAGCTCCTCTGTGTTTGGTCCTTTTTCTTAGGTCCCCACGTCTTTCCTTTTTTTGATTCACTACTTTAGGTTGACGGACAAGGTTCTCCAGTTGCTTCTCAAAGAAGGATGCATGGGGTAAGTTTTTCGACATTTAGCATATCTGAATATGACACATTTAGGTAGAGAATTCTTAGTTGAAAATAATTATTTTCTCAGAATTTGGGAGATATTGCTTCCATTTCCCTCTGCTTTCTAGTAATGAATCCATTTTTATTCCCCCTGCTTTGTATGTCATCTGCCTTTTTTTCTCTCTAAAAGGTTTAGATCTCTTCTCTTTGGCCTTAATGTTCTGAATTTCATGATGACTTTGTGAGTCTTTTGCCTTCCATCATGGGTGAGCAGGCTTTTAGTTCTGGAGACTTGCCTCCTTCAGTTCTTTTTTTTTTGAGACAGAGTCTCACTTTGTTGCCCAGGCTAGAGTGAGTTGGTGTCAGCCTAGCTCACAGCAACCTCAAACTCCTGGGCTCAAGCAATCCTACTGCCTCAGCCTCCCGAGTAGCTGGGACTACAGGCATGTGCCACCATGCCTGGCTAATTTTTTCTATATATATATTAGTTGGCCAATTAATTTCTTTCTATTTATAGTAGAGATGGGGTCTCGCTCTTGCTCAGGCTGATTGTGAACTCCTGACCTTGAGCAATCCGCCTCTCGGCCTCCCGGAGTGCTAGGATTACAGGCGTGAGCCACTGTGCCTGGCCTAAACAAGGTGTCTTAAAGAGGTTTTTTGATGGGAGGGAGGGGAGAGTGGTTGGGCAGAAGTCAATCAGTCTCCTCCTAAGTGTGTGTTTCTCAAAGGTTGGCCCTTCCAACACCATTTCTAAATCATCTGGAGCTCTCATCAAAATCCTAGGTTGACCCTTGGTCTAACAGATAGATGAGGGAGGTAGTCTAGAATATATATATTTTAACATGCTCCTTAAGTGATTTCTTCCACTCACCAAAGCTAGAGAACTACCATTCTGTGTGGGAAATGCAGATACCTTTTGAGGGAATATCAAGTTAAAAACTTAAACTTAATTAATTAATATAGTAGGATGCTGTTCACCTGTGTATTATTTATTCCAGTCTCAGTTGATTTGGAGTAATGTCTGCTACACGCATGCTAGTCCACAAATGCTAACGTGAAAGCATTTTACTTGTATTAGTACATTTGAATTTCATATGCCTAACATTTCCTAGCAGTTATTAGTGCTCATTTCTCTAAGCTGTTGGTTATAATCAGGGCACAGCTTCTTACCTAAGCCACTAAATCATTGTCTTTGATAATAGAACTGGAAATAGGGCTGATTTTCCCTCCTGCTGGGCCTTAGCCTCTCATTGGCATTTATTTTTTGAAATTTAAAATTCATTCTCTTTCAAGGAAAATACCCCACCAACTTTTCCCACTGGGTGATCTTTTGACGCCCGTGTTTCTCATACTTTAATGTGCTCCAGAAAATCTAGGCTTGTGGAGTCTGCAAGGCCTCTGATTTGGTCGGCCTGGGGTGGCGACAGGAGATCTGTGCTTTGGGCACTCGCCCCAGTGGGTGCTGGTG